ACTGTGCTGATTGTTTATTGTCCCCTTTGCTCCCCCATAGGTTTTGGAGGAGGTGCTACTTTTTCCCCCACATGGATAAAGACACTGAGGCTTAGAGAGAGGTTAAGTACCTTGCACGAGGTCACACAGCTGCTAAGTGCTGAGGCCGGTGTTGGAATTCATGTATTGCTGAATCCAGAATATGAACTCTTAACCCCTGCATGGCACCGCCTTCCCATAGACCCTCCCCCTTTGCCATTCATCAAATCCCAGGACTCTTGTGCTCTATTTGCCGAAGTGGAGAATGGAGAACTGGGGTGGGCTGTTCATTTCCTGAAGCTGCCTTAACAGCCATCTGGAATCCATAGATTGCTGCAGAACAGTATCTCTCAACCTGTGGATCTCAAAGGAGAGGAGCGAGTTTGGGCACATCAGACTTTGAGAATGGGTGAAGAGTGTAGCACAACCCAGATCTCATCAACGCACCTCGTGTCCACATGGGAGAGAGAAATCATAATGAGCCCAATTCAACTGGCTGCAGGGGGCAGAGAGTGGAGAATGGAAAGTCATGCTCACTGTTTTATCTTTCTCAGACTTCCCTGGATCTCAGCATTTTTTTACTAGTGCTAGAAAGGAATCAGTGGAAGATTGAGTTTTTTAGTGACTTTTTAAAATCAAGGTGTTTTGTATTAATATTAACATTCAACCTGTATGGTATTGAATCCTTGCCAAGGAATAGCAGGTAATGACCTTGCTTTTGTTTGAGGAATTCTTGATCTAAGAACAGGACCCTGTGTGTAAGATGCTTCCAGAGTGTCTTTCTAAAGGATCTTGTCTTTCATCTCCTTAAAAACCTTCCATGTCTTCTAATCTTAGTTAAAATTCCTTGCCAAGGCTCACAAAGACACCTTTTCACCAGTCCTTAATACAACCCCACTCTTTGTACCCTACAGAACTACTTGCAGGTCTCCAAATATGCCACGCCCTCTCACTCTACTGGGCATACATGCATACTGATCCTTCCATCCAAAAATGGGCCCTTACTTGCTTACCTGGCCAATTCCCTTTAGCTCCACCTAAAGTGACCATTTGTATCTGCTCACTCTGGGTCAATTCTCTGAATTGACTTCCCCAGACCGAATGAAAGATGTGGGCTAGTGATTTCACCTGTGGCTGCAGCTCAGCAGGTGGTCAAGAGCTCAGTTCTGCAGTCTTCCAGCAGGGCCCCAACCTCCCTCCAGCTGCTTACTGGCTGAGTTAGCTCAAGCAAGTTTTTGACGTCTCCGCACCTCAGATGGGATATATAAAATGGGATATGAATAGTGTGATACTCAAAGATTATAACAAAGATTAAATGACACCACAAATAAAGGACTGAGCATAGCACCTGACTCTCTGTAAGTTCCCCATACTAAGCATCGTTTAGTAACGCTACATTGTTTTGGCATATTAATTGTCATTATCTCTCACAAAACTGAGCAATTTGAGGTCAGGAACTGATCTTTTGTCTTTATTTCCCCTGTGCATAGCACATAGTAAGTGCTTCATAAATGTTCGTTAAATGAATGAGAATGAAAGATCATCAAGATGATAGATGAATGTACAAGATGCTCATGCATAAACATAGCAGTTACTCAATTACTGCAGTAAACGTACCTAGGGTTTATAATTCTCCAAAGGACTGATCACCTCCTGGAAGTTTGACTTGCTGCTCTAAGTACAGGCCACATCCCTACGTGTAAGTGTGTAGTAGCCTCTTTGTTAAAACAATTTAAATCCATCTGGCATGGAAGCAGAGGACGGCTTCAGGATTAAAACCCGTAGGTGGAAAGAGATAATTGCAAATCTGCTCCTCAATTCTTTCCCCTCTTCCCTGCCCCATGTGAGATTGTGTCTGCTGCCAACGACCAGCATGCAGGACCCCAGAAAAGACCCACTCCTCCTTGTAAACTCTACCTCAGATGTAGACTGAAATTCCATTCTTTGCACATCTTTCAATAGTGGTCCTAAACTTTCAAGAACATAAAAATGACCAAGTTTCTCAAGTCCAAGTTTATGACAATAGGACTAAGAAGTCCTAATGTCTGGGTACCCCTTCACCAACCCATGGAAGATACAGTGGACTGGTTCATTCCTTCAACATCTGCTCTATTCCATCTGTACTATAGAAGTTAGAAAGATACCAACTACCTTTCCTAAATGATCTTGCAGCTGGGTTGCAGATGTGACAGGTTCTCCAGTAACTTGCACTGAATTAAATGGGGAACGAGTAGAGAAAGAGGAAGTGGCTGGAGCAGCGCCCACTGTGCCAGTGAGGTTCTTGTGGGCATGTGTAGCTTCCTCAGTCCCAGACTACAGCCAGAGTGCTGCTGTCCTACAGCCAGCTCTGGGGCCAGTGATTTTCTGAGTCCCCGGCTCTCAGGGAGGCAGAGGCAGCTGCTACTTGGCTGTGCTATTTCTGCAACATTGGGTTGAGAGTGATTACTGGGACGTCAGAGTCTGGGGCCCACTTCTTCCAGCCCAACCATAATTTTGTAAGCACCTAAGTCCTGATATTAATTTAATTTTATTTTTTTATCTTAAAATATAGCTAGAATAGTACTGTTACAATCCTCTTTCCAACCCTTCCGTGCAGCTTTGTTGTTGTTGCTGTGGTTGTTTTTGTTCTCTGTCCAATATCTCCGCCCTCCCTGGCTCCCCTTTCTTCCCCCTTCAACTCTACACCCTGCACTAGAAACTGACTTACCAGTGTTGCCTTTCTCCGCACAGGAGGTCCAGGGCCATACCTCTTGGCTCTCAATTCCCTACTTGTGATGATAACTACTCCACTGGGTTTGCTTTTAAGCCGAAACATTCAGCTTCTCATTAGGAAGGCCATTGCTCTTTACAAATTATTTCAGATATGACACAAATGATTTCAGACACCCACTGAGTCCCAGTGAATAACTGGCACCAAGTGAGGGCTTCTGGATTCACTTACTCTGGGAAAAACGTTCCCTCATTTCCTGGTGTGGAGTGGTTTCACCCACTACAAGCCCCTTGCAGAATAATACTCATACCTCTAGAATTACAAACCTGAAAAATATCCCAGGAACACAAACTTTATAACGAATAGATCATGAGCTTTGGCACACATAAAGCCTTGGGGCGGCCATGGAACAGAGCTGCAGTCTTCACAGGCCACCGTGTACTTTAAACACTAAACCCAAGGGCCTTTTGTTTTTGCCTTACATTTCACTCCTCTCATCCCTCCTTGAGAGAGGAGGTTTACCCTCTTAAGATCACATTTCCAAAATGCTGGGAAGTTGCACAGCCAGATTGTGAACTCTTTGAGAATGAGCACAGCCTCATCCATCTCTCTGTGCTCAGCACTTAGCGCCGGGCCTGCCCGCAGTTGCCGTATGCATTTCAGCAACAATTCTTGACACCAACCGGGTGTCCCATAGACAATTCTAACTAAGCTCCTAGAATTCTAGGAATTCTAACTAACCTCCTAGAATTAGTACAGACCCCCCAGGTAAGGGGCTCAGTCTCATAAGACTGCCCCCTCTTCAGATGCCAACTGCAAGTCCCAGGTGTCCTCAAGCTTCTTTCACTTCCGTCCAGCCAGCTGCAAATTCGAGGGTTCTCACAGCTGCCTTCAGATTGGATAATTTACCAGAATGACTCATAGAACTCACTGAAAGCGCCGTGCCTACAATAGCTGTTTATTATACTGAATACACTCAGGAATCGTCAAATGGAAGAGACGGCAGGTGAAGGCCCAAGGAGAGAGGAGAGCAGAGGTCCCATGCCCATGGAGTCCGGGTGTTACGGCAAGTGTACAGCTAGTGTCACAGCTCTTGACCCGGGAAAGAACCGAGCGGCACACGAAGAGTCGGAGAACAGCCTTTATTCCTCCTGCAGACTCAGCACAGCAAGTGTTACAGCTCTCTTCCTGTCTTCCGACCTTCTGATTCCCCCCCCTTCCTTGTTCTCCTCCTGCTTTTATACCCTTGGTAGGGCTCAAAAAGCGTCCAATCAACTACAAGCTTTAACATCCAATCAATATCAAGCTTTAACATCCAATCAGCAACAAGCTTTAACATCCAATAACAGTGGGATTCAAAATTTACCCAATCAGGCTCAGGCCCGGGGACATTCCGGCACACTGGGCCCCTGGGGCACCGGGAACCGGGTGGCTCTCTTCTTCGCCCGGCCCCAACAGCGTGCCCTCCAACTGGCCACACCCAGCGCTGGCCCTTGGAGATGCGGAGTGATGGGGAGGCGGCAAGCGGCCTCGTCCCTGCCCAACACTTTCTGTGTCAATGGTAGGCCACCCTTCTGGTATATGGATGTGTTCTCCAACTGGAAACTCTGAGCCTCACGGTTCACTGCATAAGTTTCGCTATGTAGCATAACTGGCCACGTGTTTGAATTCAGTCTCCAACCCCTTCTCTCCCTGGAGGACAGAGGTTGGGGCTGAAAATTCTAACTCTCTAATCACCTGCTTGGTCTTCATGGCTTGGACAGCCCCTCCCTTAAAACTATCTGAGTGAGTCACCTCATTAGCATAAATTTATAGCGGAAAATGAGCTCATTGTGAATAACGAAAGACACTCCTATTAGGAAAATTCTAAGGGTTTTTTGAAGCTCTGTGCCAAGAACCAGGGACAAAAACTACATATATTCTTTATTATAGCACACCATCCTAGACACATCTGATAAATTGAGTTGGCTACCTCCAGGTTCCCATTAGTCACTTTATAAAAATTAAATTAAAGGATCTTCTGCAATTCTAGGATCAAAGTGCTCCCACTGGAAGTAATGTTCTTTAAGCCCTTCCTTGAATACTCATTTAAAACACAGCTTAAATAACCCCCTCGTTAAAAACCAGAGCTTAAGTCCCTTTTTAACTACAGGTGATAGGAAATGAATTCCACCACCCCAGATGGGCGTTTAAGACCTGAGTATATTTACTACTAATGTTTTTACATCACTTTTGAAGTTGCTATTGCAGGAATACCAGATACCATTATGGCCTAGACTTCAAGTGAATATACTGCCCTGTCAGGCAGAGTAAATACAGAGCACTGTGAGTTTTATCAAGGTAAGCACATAGTAAAATAAAACATTGCCTTGTGCATCTGAGCAGTGTTGTTTTTAAGTATAAAAATTGAATAGGAGGATGAAGATGTGCAGATACTATGCTTTCAGTGCTTATATTAACTTCACTTATAAGAAATGCTGCCAGGAAAAAAGTTTCCCTTTGTATTAAAGGAAAATTTTAGATAGATATTTACATATATGTACACATACATATGTACATATATAAATACACATATTTTAATAGAGAGAGAGTCTGAGAGCTTTTACTATAAAGAGACAAATGGTAAATATTTTAGGCATTATATGCTCTCTTACAATTAATCAACTCTGCCATTGATGTGCAGAAGCATCCATAGGTATTACATAAAGAAATGGTTGTGGCTGTGTTCTAATAAAACTTTATTAATGGACACTGAAATTTGAACTAGTGACAATGTCTCTGCTCAAGTTGCATGATCTGAGTGGACCTGCATCATCTGGGGCCTCTAACAAGTGAGTTATTTGAATTCCACTGGATGTTAAAAGAAATCCTCATAGATACTATCATCCCTCCATCACTTCAGCCCCCTCTCACCTGGCTCCCCCTTCTCTCCATCTCATTCCTGAAGGACAAGATGGGTTCAATGAAAATGTGCCCCGGCTACTTCCAACACTGACTGCCTATGCTATGAATATCAAGGTAAACATAGCTGATGACAGCTTCTTTCATTGATTCATAATCCATGTCCCCATTAAAGAGTATCTGATCCAATGAGTTATACATATTTCACTCTGAATATGCTAATGATGTTAGTTTAAATCAAAATAAAACCACAACTTATTTCTTTCCTGATTGAGGAATTAAGGGAGAAAATGCCTCTGTTGGGGGTAGGTGGGAAATCCCAAGACTGGAAAATACCTTTGACTCTGAAAGATCAGATCCTGTTCAAACCGCAGTCGAAGCACTCTTAGAGACTCTGCCCAAGTCCGTGGTGGGCGTCCTACGGCAGCGTGCCGGCATTTCACACGTGCCAGCTTCACCGGGCTTTTCTAGGTAGCTTCTCTTAGCAAATGTATTTCAAGAAATGGTTGTATTTTTTAAAGCAATTTTTAAAACTCTCTGTTTAAATGAATAGGTTCATCAATCAGAAAGCCCAGAGGCAGGTGGGGGGCGGAGGGGGAAGGGCAAGATTTTTTTATTGTTATTAAAGAATGATAAATAATATCTGAGACCTGAAGCTCAATTTGTGAAGAGCATGATCCACGGGACTCCTGTTAAAGTTAGGCTGCTGCTGAGACACTTCAAAAGATCATCTTTATTGCAGAACAATTGCCTGACCCAGTTTCCTGGTCAGCAACATGCTTTTGTAGAAACTTCAGGAGCTGATGAAAAAGCTCAGCAAAGTTAGCATGGGTACTTTCATCTGTGGTTGTCGGGAGGGGAGCTATGAAAAGGTTTCTAGGTCCCTTGGATTTAGCACTGCCAGGTTTACCGGCACGAAAGCAAAGAATGAAACAAAAGATATGAACATGTTTTGAAAAGCAGTGTCTAGCTTCTTGGCAAATGTGCTCGCTATTAGGGTTTGTAGAACACAGAGGTCTTTCTGTATTCATAGTCTTTTGCCTGTCAAAATATTTTGATATTGTAATAAAACCCTACTGTAACATACATTTTGCCCATTGAGTAAGGATTCACCGCCTAAGTATAAAACAGATATTCTTCTGCCCATTCTTAGGACTCCTTGAGAAACAATTCTTGGCGCATAAACATCTAAACATTATTTAATTTGGAATTCCGACATGCATCATAAAACTAGCATAAAGAGCAACAATGTATGTTTTAATGATTTCTAAGGGGAAAACACATTTCCACAAACAGCTCTGAGTTAAGTTCCATTCATTGCTTGCTGGAAAATATTACATCTTTAAGCAAAAAGCTCTTCAGCTTTTTATTCTAAGCATCTGTGTACTTAAATTTATCAGTAAAAAGAATCTTTCAAAAGAGCTATTAGGATTTAGAATTTCCTCTTCCAGTTTTTATTCTTTTTTTTTTTTCTCCTTTAGATTCATTTTGGAGAAAGTCACCTTAATTCATTTTTAACCTCACTTGTATTAGTTTCCTAGGGCTGCTGTAACAAAATACCAAAAACTAGGTGGCTTAAAACAGCAGAAATCTATAGTTTCAGGGTCCTGGAGGCTGAAATCAAGGTGTTGGTAGGGCCACACTATCTCTGACAGCTTTAGGGGAGAATCCTTTCTTGCCTCTTCCTAGCCCCTCGTGTGTGCCAGCCATACGTGCCATTTCTTGACTTGTAGATGAATGTCTATAGTCATACGGTCACTTTCTCCCTGTGTATCTTCACGTCTCTTCCCTCTGTCTCTGTGTCCACATTTCCCCTTTTCAGAAGGACATCTGTCCTATTGAATTAGGGCCATCCTAATGACCTAATTTTAACTTGATTACTTTTATAAAGACTCTATTTCCAAATAAGGTCACATTTTGAGATACTGGAGGTTAACACTTTAATATATCATTTTTACACTTACACAATTCAACCCATAACACCTATATCGTTATGCATGTAATGCATTTAATTTTAACATTATTGAACAAAAAATCATATTATTTATGCAGTGTGGCTAAGAAAATTCAACAGGAGGGGGCAGGTCCAGATTTCCTTCTGGCAGGACTTTTCCTGAAAGTTCCTACTGAAATGTCTTGACATTCATTTTGACTGTCTCTTAGAGTTCACATCAAGAATGTCCAGGTGCCCCCAGCCACGGTGACTCAACACATGAGGCAGCACCAATGCAGGAGAGAAGCCCAAATTGCAATTGCTGCACAGCTCTGATGAGGCATCACTGCTGGCTGGTGCAGTGGCACTGGGTGACGCCAGAGCTCACAGACCCATTGGAATGCTGGGAAGATGTGCTTCAAACAGAGAGAAATGTCAGAGCCTAGAGCCATGCTTCCCAATTTGAATCACCTGCAGAGATCTAAAAAAATCCTAAGTCCTTTGCTCACTCCTAAGGTTGTGAGTGAGTGGGGTTGGTACGGCTCCACGTGACTAAGGTACAGCCAAAGGTGAGAGCAGCTGATCCAGCCCAATGCTCCTCAAACATTAACATGGGCAGGAATCACCCAGGAGCTTGATAAAACACAGGTGCTGATTCCTTGGGTCTGGGGTAGGCTTGAGATTTGGCATCTCTAACAGGCTCCCACCAGAGCCCGCAGCTGTTGATCCACTGACCAATGAGTAGTCAGGAGAACTAGAGAACTAGATCTCAAAGTTTGCTGCACAGGGAACATCAGCAGAGCTGTGAAAAGCGCTGATGCCGCCTCTCACCTGCAGTGATTCCGATTGAGTTGGTCAGGAGTACTGTAAGAGCATCAGGATTCTCCAAAGCTCCCCACGTGATTTTGAAGGGCAGGCCAACCTGAAAGTCACTGTTACTGAGAAAAGGCAAAAAGAGTCTTCAGCTGTTTCTGGCAATAACATGGGCCACCAAGCCACATTGGGCATGATCTGTAATGGTGGCATCAAAAAAAGCCACATCTTTGCCACTTCCGTAAACACAGGCACACCTGTGTTCTGCAAGGGATGGTCACACCCATGACTCACTTGGAGCACTAAGAAAGGGGCCCTGTGTACTCCTGATGTTCTAGCTTTAGGTGTCTGCCAAATATTCATTCCACTGTCACCACTGCTATGTGATCAGCCATCCACTGAAAAGTGTCCTAGTGACATCAAGCATTCCTCTTGGGTCAGGGCCTACAAATGACTGCCTTTCTCACCCATGTCCCAGCTACCCCCACAGAAAGAAGGGGCTGGTTATGTGGGTTCACTGAACAGGAAGAGAGAAATGCTGGACTGGACGAAACTTCCGAGGGGGGTGCCACCTAATGGCACCAGAATTTGGAAGGGTGTCAAAGTATGAGAGGTAGAACCTGTGAGAAAGGAGGAAAAAGAACCTTCTACTGTGATTTTTTAAATTAGATTGTGTTCAGTGGTGGGGTGAGTGAGGGGGGCATTCTTCTCATTCTCCAAGGGAAATCTTTACTAGACTCCATAGAGCTTGCAGATGTTACTAGACCTTCGCGGCAAATGCAAAGTGCTACTGAGTCTGACTTCAAGGTTTGTGCAGCAAAAAAACCACAAAGGCTGCACAGGGGACTAGGGCTATGTGCATACCAAACTTTTGAGGACAGGTGACAGGGGTCGGAGTCAACAGGCAAAAGGGAGAGAGCAGACAAGGCTGGTCCGGGGGGAGCTGAGGGGTGGTGTTCAAGGAGGTTAATTAAATCTTTCCTCACCTTGGTCAGCTGAGGCCTTCACGAGTCAGCCTTCGAGCTGAGACAAGCTTTTGTGACAGTATCCGGGACAGTCGGAACAGACCTTGGTCCCCTCTGAAGGAGGCTGAATACGTACCCCACCACTAGCACCACTAACATGGCCCGGCCATCCATGCAGCCCTCGTTTACACCGTTCATCCCAGCATCTGGTGTGTTTTGGCGTTTTAGCACTCCCCGTGTGCCTGGGTCTGGACAAGAAATGGTCACCCTCGTCAAATGTTAACCTATCCATTATGGGCTGAATTGTGTCCCCTTCAAAATCCATGTGTTCAAGCCCTCACCTCAGTACCTCAGACTGTGACTGCATTTGGAGATAAGGCTTTTAAAGAGGTGAGCAAGTTAAAATGAGGCCCTTAGACTGGGCCCTATTCCAATCTGACTGCTGTCCTTATAAGAAGAGGAAATTTGGACACAGAGAGACACCGGCAATGTCTACGCACAGAGGAGAGACCCCTGAGCACACAGGGAGAAGGCGGCCATCTGCAAGGCGAGGAGAAAAACCTCGGGAGAAACTAAACCTGCCAACACCTTGATCTCAGACGTCAGCCTCCAGGACTGTGAGAAAATAAATTTCTGTTATTTAAGCCGCCCCGTCTGTGGTGTGTTGTTATATGTCTTGTGTGGAGGAGGTGGTAATTGGAGTTCCATAAAGGATGTAAATTTCCCCTGGGTTGGATAGGAGCACAGTCCTCAGTGTATGTATTCATCAGCTCTCATTACATGACAAACAACCGCAAAAATTCCAGCAGCATCTAAAAATAAGTATTTTTTCATGCTCATCAGCAGACTGGCTGGGGTCTAGTTAATCTTATCTGAGCTCCATTTGACTTAACTCCAGGTTGGGAGTTAGGTTCAGGTGTCACATTCTTCTGGTACTAGCATCTACGTGGGACATGTCCTCCTCGTGGCGATGGCATAAGAAAGCCAGACCAACCATCCTAGCACACTTCAAGCCTCTCCTTGAGCTGTGTCCACTAACATCCATTGACCAGCACAAGGTCAAACCCAAAGTCAAGGATGGACAAATACAATCCACCCCCACAAGGCTATGGGGAACCATGCCTTCATGGTTCTACATACCAGTGCTGTCTAAAGGGGAGTGAGGACTTGAGATTAATTATTTAATCTACCACACCTAGGTTCCATCAGTATATTTTTAGGGGTTGAGTGGCCACGGACTTGGTCTTCATCGATGAAATTTAGACTAGAGCCTTACTATGAAGCATCTCTAGAACAATTGCCTCCAACAATTTTCTGTGTAACTGTCACTTCTCATTGCTGAGACTCAGTTTTCTTAAAAAAAAAAAAAAAAGAATAT